TATCACATGAAATCTGCTCAGAATTTTACGTAGAACCGTTATATTCGATAATATTATTATACAGGGTATTTCATTAAAAATAGGAAGGTTGGAGAACGACCGGCTTTTCTGAAACACCCTGTATATGCGAAAGTGACTTTTTCAAAAAAAAAAATTAATGTAACCATAAAACTTTTGTTTGAGACACTTTTTTCTAAAATGTCAAAAAAAAAGATAGACGGGGGTGACATGTAGGTACATATCTATGTAAAAAAACTCCCCGATTACCCTAGAGTTAAAATATTGAAGCCTTTAAATTGCAATTAAAGTATCCCGAGAACGAATTTAACGGAACCACGTGCTATAATAGAGACCGCATTACGTAGTGCAGGGAAAAATTAGGCAAACGACTAACCTCTAGATTAATTCCAGGTTCATGCACAAGTTAACCTTAATGAACGTTTTTAAAATTCAAAACTGTTTGATCCAGTTTTCTATGAATTTTTAAATTCAAAAAGTATCATCCTCGAGATTTCTCGCACCTCTCTCGAGGAAGTATATGGATATCGATTAGACATTGAAGCAAACAAGTGGAGATAATATATGGGCCCCAATTTTAGCTCGAAAACCTAAAACATATTGAAGCGGTAAAATAATGTATTAATCCAAGGACGAATTTATCAGCCCAAACGTGCTGCTATGGTTTATTGAATAATAGAAGTTTTGTTAAATCGACAAAGATATTATTATTTGTTTCAATTAAATAAATTGTAATGACCCGGGAAAAGAGACCCGTAATTTGCAATGTCTTAACTGTAAAAATTAAGTGTAATCAAATCAAATAATCAAAAACTGAATTTCCTGTATTTGAAATCCTTATCAATAAACTGAAAATGAAACAAATTAGCGGTGACCCCAAATTAAATTAAAATATTAATATACGTTGAAATTTTATTATTTAGTCACCAAGAGTGGTGTCATCATCTAAATCAAATTCATAAAATTATTAAAAGCGAGGCCAACGTGTTTTTCGGCTTTCTTTGTGTTGTCCTCACATTCTTAAACCAAATCTGTAGCCCCCGATTAACCAGGAAATTGCGACATAATTATTCGATTTCGAACAAATAAAAACCCTGAAGAGATCAACTACAAGGTTACAAGGTTAAGCACCTAATTAAATTGGATCCAAAATGACAAAAATTTTGAACAGATGGCATCATCCTCTAAAAATGATGAAAATTAGTTTTTGGAATAATATCTAGGTCGAGTGGTCGACCAATAGAATTAAATTATAAATGGTCAAACGACCGCCCATTGTCGATTTTGGTTGATAATTAATAATATTTTGGGGGGAATCGAAAAAGATAAATACAGCTGTTTTAGAAGTGGAGGGCAGTTGATTTGAGTTTAAGTTCAGTCCAGTTGTTAGTCTTCAGCCTGCAGTCCAGTTTTCAGTTTAAGGTCTACAGTCCGAATAAAATTCGCGAAGAGTTTCTTTTATTTTATTACCTCGGATAAACGTGTTTAATCGAATCTTTGTAAAAGTACAGAAAATTGTGTAAGAAAGAACATTTAAAGTCATTCAACATTATGTGCGAGCTCTAAGTAATCAAACGAATTAAATAAGTTTAGTTTAGTGTTTTATGGACAAAATGTAGGTACTCTATACGTCTGGCAAGTAAACATCTTACATGCCAATTTTAATGCGCTAGAATGAAATGTTAAGAAAAAGTCTAAGGTTAAATAGAGAACGAAAACGATTTCCTCTGTTCCACCTCCAGCAAAAAGCGCTGGGCATGCTAGAGAAGGAAAAGGAGAAATCGTTTTCGTTGTCTATTCAACCTTAGACTTTCCCTAGACATTTCATTCTATCGCATTGAAATTGGCATGCAAGATGTTTACTTGCCAGGGGTGTATAGTGACAAGTTTTATTTTTGTCTATAAATGATGAATGAGTATGAAGTGAATTAACTTTGGAACTTTATTGCGTAAATATTGACAACTCGAGTATTTTGACTATGGAACATTATTGCATAAATTTAATTGCCTTCGAATAAAATGACATTATAATTAATTTTGCAAAGAGTTTAAAGGGGGAATTTATAATGCACTTAACAAGTATCGATTTTGAGTAGGAATTATTAAAGAATTTTGAATTGGATTGTCCAATTGAAGTTTAAGGGCTATAGTAACGAACTAATAAGAATTTAAATAATTGTGTCTGTTGGCTAGGAATCCGAGAAAAGTAATTGTTCTGAATAAATTGATAAGAAGTTTTGTTTGAAAATTGTTGTTCATGTTGTAACATTGATGACCTTAGGTACTGAAATTTTGAATTATGGTTTTCTTCAATAAGAAATTATGGTAAGGTTTTTATAAAAATATAGTTAGTAATACATATAAACTTAATCCAGTGAGTCGGATTATGACTTAAATAATTCTTTTGCATAAGCAGTCAGTAAAGGCCTTGGGAATTTTTAAGAATTTATAGATATAGGTAAAGGGTAGTTTTAATAGGAATGTGAATCGGAAGTGTTGTAATGTATAACTTATAAGTTATTAAGAATAGAAGAAGTAGGGTATTCTTTTTGTATGGATATTTCCTGGTCCGTAGTAATGAAATTTGAACGGATGGGAAATAATTTGATTTAAGAGAAGTAGAAGTGGCTGTCAGACATAAAAAGATATTTGCCTATTTTGATTTTGGTTTCAAGTATAATAAAATATAATTCAGTAAACCTCAATAGTTTGTTTCGCTCTTTTGCGAATAGATCCCCTCGACAATTTTGTAGGTAGCCACTCAAGGAAATAAACACCATCAATATACCGCTCGCCATTTATCATCTAACTAATTAAATAGAGTACTTGAGTGAGTTTTGCTACAAAATATATCTATTGTAGAAACAACGTCTATTCTAAATTTGCAAATGAATATTGTAGTTATCGCCATTTAATGTTTAAGTGGGAAATTATGCAATGAAATTTATTTTCAGCCAGAATGTTAATATGAAAACAGCTAAAGTTTCCACCCGTCACGTACAGCTAAATATGAACTTGTGGACTCATCGGGAGCCAGAAATTGTATTATTTAATGTACTATTTCGTATTTCTGCCATTTTCTTTGGATTTATGGTTGAAAATCGCATTTGACAATAAGAAAACATCGACTGAAACCATTCACAATAAGGCTTCAATAGATGCCGCGTAAAAAAGTAGTACATCTCAACATAGATCGATAGATCGAACAGATGGCACTTCATTCGCCTGCGTTAAATCAAATATTTCCAACACTTGCCTGCCTATTACGGATTGGAAAATTTAGTTGGTAAATCAAGCAGACACTACATGTGAGATTTACAACTGTTATCCCAGACCCCCAGTCCAGTACAAAATATGTAATCTGAGAATAAAAGATGTTGCGCTGGTAGGTATCGATTTTTTTGTTTGAGAAATGTCAGTAACTTGCAACATGTGATTGATTTACTAATACTAAATGGCGATCCCCAGGAAAATGTAACTGGTTATGTAATATATGTACATATTACATAACCAGTTACACAAAACTGTTCATTTTCTAAACTAATATAATAGTGGCAGTGTCGCTGCTCCAAATGTCGAACCCGAGGATTGCCAATTAAATTAATCAGAGTGCTTTTATGCATTACTCTCACGTGTGAAAGATTTTATTTATTATGAATTTGATTATTATCACTATGCCTGTATTTTTATGTTAAATTATTCACCAACCAATCGAAAAAATAAAATAAATAAATATACAGTGTGATTACCTAAGTGTGCAACATATGGGGATTTTTTTTAGTAATAGCAGAAGCCAAATACAAACAAGGCCAAAAGTTGGTGCATGTCTGATAATCATATAAGGTGCACTTAGAATGGTTGCAAGTCAAACAGCATACAGCGTAGCTCAAACAATGTCAAAATTGTACTGTAAAGTACCCTTATTTTAGAAAATTCAGCAAAATGTTATCAAGAAAAGTTGTTTGGAATTAAAAGTTATGCCTACCAAAACATGGCCTTCTTATATTTTTTTCGAAAAATGTTATATACCTATAGGCAACCAACTTAGCAACCAATTAAGCAACCGCCTATCAGCGCCGTCTACTTCCGGAAAGGAACAAAGTATGAAGCTCCATGACACAGCGACTGGAAGAACCAGTCCACTAGAGAACAGCCCAAAGACAAGCCACGCGCCTCATCCAATGTACCCTATAAATTAAGCCCGACAATAATCTTAACTGTGATATTTTTAATACAACACTCATTATCGTTCGTGACTAGTTTTATTGATAACAGAAAGTACAAAATGGCTACCACGAGGTTTGCAGAATTCGACGAAAAATCTGATGACTGGACGATATACCAAGAACGGCTCGAGCAGCATTTTACGGCGAATGCCATCAAAGAAGAAAATATTAAAATTGCGACGCTTTTAAGTGTGATTGGCGTCCAAACTTACAAACTGTTGCGTAATCTGTGCCATCCCGAATTACCGAAGTCAAAGTCGTTCCAGGCTCTCGTTAATCTGCTGAACAAGCAATATGGTCCCCAAATAAATGCATGGAGAGAGAGAAGGTTTTATGAGTCGAGGCAGGAAAATGGTGAAAACGTGGCCGATTACTATGCAAGAATTAGAAGCCTAGCAATAAATTGCGATTTTCAAAATGACCTGAACAATGTCCTGAGAGATAAGTTCGTATGTGGTTTGCAAAAAGGTGCAATATTGGATAGAATCTGCGAAGAAAAGTGTTCTAAAGCGTTGGAAGAACTCGTTACCTTGGCGATGCAGCGAGAAAATTGCGAAAATGAAGAAAATTCAGCAAATCTACGTGTAAATTACGTCATCGGTGAACAAAGAAGTTCCAAATTCCCGCTAAATCAAAATGGACGACATGGCAGCAACCATGGTAAAGGATCCGCCCACTACCAAAATGTCAACGAGCAAGGACGATGGAATGGAAGTGGAAGTGGACATCGACAGCGAGTGACAGATCGAGGCCAACATGGCGGCCGAAATCGTTCTAGATCAGCGTCGACAAGAAGAAATGGAAAACAGGGTCAAAAATGCAGGTGCTGTGGAAAAAGTCATTCACCCCCATGCAAGTACAGGACGTACCAATGTAGTAAATGTAAAAAAATGGGTCAACTGGCCAAGGTTTGCACAACAAACACAGGTTTTAATTTTGTAAACAAAGCAAACAATGGGTATGTACAAAATTTTAATAATTATTATTCTGACTCTGAATGTGGAGAATCCGATGATGAGCAGGAAACTACAGCAGCAACAATGTTTGGAATTTTTGACAAAGATTTTAAAAATAATCCATTTAATGTAAACATAAAAATTGATAATAAACAACATGTTTTTATGATCGATTCTGGAGCCCAAATTTCTGGACTTAATAAAAAATATCATGAAAAACATTTTGCTAATAAATATAAATTAATTAAAGATAACATAATGCTGTGTAGTTATAATGGAGGATTGTTTTCTCCTAGTGGATATTTTGTAGTAAATGTTGATCATTTAAATGTTTGTAAACCTGTCAAATTGTATGTTGTAAAGGATGGTGCTGCAAACATATTGGGTCGAGATTATCTAAATTTATTTAATATAAAGTTTCAAATGGTAAACACTATTAAATCAGCTTCTCATAAAAATGAAATAAATAAAATTATTGAAAATTTTCCAGACGTATTTAATAACAAATTGGGTAAATTTAAACATGCAAAAATTTCTTTACAGTTAAAAGAAGGTGCTATTCCCATATTTTTAAAACCCAGGCCTGTACCACTGGCATATCGAGAGAAGGTTGACGAGGCATTAGACAAAATGGTGAAGGATGGCATCCTAACGCCAACTGAAACGAGTGAATGGGCAACACCTATCGTGATCGTCATCAAGGCCGATGGTGGACTGAAGTTGTGTGGAGACTATAAAACCACGGTGAAAAAATGGCTGAAAGAAGAACATCACCCAGTACCGTTGGTGCAGGAAATCTTTGCGAAACTGCATAATGGTGAGCATTTCACTAAACTAGATTTAAACCAGGCATATAATCAATTTGAATTAGATAACGATGCTAAGGAAATCCTCAGATTGAGTACGCATAAAGGTATTTTTACTATAAATCGAATGCCCTTTGGAATTACTCCTGGCAGCAGTAAATGTCAAAAATACATGGAACAGTTGTTCCAAGGTATGGAGTATGTTTCAGTCTACCAAGATGATTTATTAATAACAGGTCCTGATAAACAAAGTCATTTAAAAATCTTATGTAAAGTTTTGCAGAAACTCTGCGATGCCGGATTGACACTACGCCGAGAGAAGTGTCAGTTTTTCAAAGAAGAAATTCATTATCTAGGACATAAAATAAGTAAGCATGGTCTTCACAAGGCTGAAGACAAAATTAAGGCTATATGTGAAGCAGAGCCGCCCCATAATGTAACTGAAGTTCGTAGTTTGTTAGGCATGATAACTTATTATTCAAAATTCATCCCAAATTTATCCTCAATTTTAAGACCCATATATAATTTGCTCAAAAAGGAAACTGAGTATTATTGGAGTAAAGAATGTCAATTAGCTTTTATGGAAATAAAAGAAATTCTCATGTCTGATTTAGTACTAACGCATTTTAACCCAAAATTACCCATTTATTTGACAACTGACAGTTCCGATTACGGTATTGCTGCTGTCTTATCCCATGTTATGCCCAATGTAGTGGGAAGACCAATTAATTTTGTTTCTAGGACTCTGACAAAAGCTGAAGTATCATACAGCACCCTACACAAAGAAAGCAGTGCGATTTATCTAGGTTTAACAAAATTCTACCAGTATCTTGCAGGAAGATTCTTCACGATCCGCACAGATCATAAACCACTAATAACATTGATGGGTGAACATAAAGGCATACCAAAAATGTACGAAAATCGACTACAAAGATGGGCAGCATTTCTGGCTGGTTTCAACTATAAAATAGAGCACATAAAGGGTAAGGAAAATACCATTGCAGACTATTTCTCCCGAAAACCAAGCAAAACAGAAGTAGCTATAGAGGAAAATGTAAGTTATTTGAATTTTACTAATAAAATCGATAATTGGCCTTTAAATAATCACGAAATTATGATAAATACGAAACAAGATAGTCAATTGCAAGACATCATTAAATGTGTTAGAGCTGAAAAATGGCCAAAACAAATTAATGACGAGTTGAAGGCATATTATCATAGACCTAATGAATTATTTATAGAAAATGACATTCTAATGTGGGGCCTGAGAATAGTGATTCCAAGCAAACTACGTAGGAAAGTTCTGGAAATGTTGCACGAAGGACATAATGGAATTGTAAAGATGAAAGCTACAGCCAGATCCTTTGTATACTGGGAAACGTTAGATAAAGATTTCGAAGAAATCATGAAAAGCTGTGTGCCATGCAGAGTAACCGTACAGGCACCACCAAAAAGCCCTTTGACACCATGGCCTGTAGAAAATCGACCATTTAATAGAATCCACATAGATCTTTGTGGTCCAATGGTAAAACATAATTTTTTAATAATTGTAGATGCTTACACGAAATGGTTGGAAGTGTATCCGATGACTAAAGTCACCACCGATGACATCATTGAAAAATTGAGAGAGGCATTTTCCAGATTTGGCATACCAAGTACCATGGTGAGCGACAATGGACCTAATTTGGTGTCAGCAAAGATGCAACAATTTTGTAGACTGAATGGCATCAAGCACTTGAAATCACCTCCTGGTCATCAGCAAAGTAATGGAGCCGCTGAAAATGCAGTTAAAAATTTTAAAACTAAACTCAACACAGCCCTTAAAGATCCAGAAAGCAAAAATCAATCATTATCAACTCTAATATCAAGAATATTGTTCACTTATCGAACGACGGAGCATTGCTCAACAAAAGCATCACCAGCTAGTTTGATGTACAAAAGAGAATTGAGAACGAGACTTTCTAGCATGCGAAAAAGTGACAACATTCTGGATACAGCAGATAAAAGTGCAATAGAAAACTTAAGAAAGGCTCGGGAACGTCAAAAGAAAAACTACGGAGGGAAGGAAAGAGGATTAAAAGTAGGAGACATGGTATTAGTGAAAGATTATAGAAATCCAAATAAGATTGCCTGGACCAAGGCCAAACTAATAAAGAAGACTGGAAAAGCAACATTCTTGTCTGAACTGGAAGAAGGAAACATTTGGACACGCCATAAGAACCAAATCAAAATATGCCAGTGGGAAGCAGAATCGAAAAATGTTCATTTTAACCCAAACTTAACCATATTTCATGATTATGATACTGATAACTTTGAAATTGATAAAAACATAATAACTAATAATGATTCTTCTTTAGATTCTCAGCATATATAGTGAGATACGTACCTCAACCACAGGTAGAGCCAGCTTCACCTAGCTCCCCTTGTAATTCAAGCCACCCCTCTCTTGCAGAACCACCCTCATGTTGTGACTGTACCTTATATAATGATTTGTGTAACTATTGTAAGTATAAATTGAATTTATTGGATGAGCAAGGCCCAATGGAATCGACAGCTGATGAAAGTAACATTTCTGTTCATTCAGAGAGCTTTGAAAGTTGTGACGAAGATTCTACTATGAATCTTAATAAAAATAAAAATTTGACAGGGTCTGACAGTCACGTAAAAAAGAAACTGTTAAGTAATAATGACGATCATGGACATCATAATGACAGCGTTCCTAGTAAGGAAATAAAACGCAAAAGAATTGTTCCGAATAAACTGAAAGATTTTATATTGTGATATTTATGTAACATGTAAACTAATAATTGTATTGTACCGATCTGTAAATGTAAATATTGTTATTATGATAGTACTGTATTTATTTTAGATTTTGAAAAATCTTAGAGGAGAGGTGTTATATACGTATAGGCAACCAACTTAGCAACCAATTAAGCAACCGCCTATCAGCGCCGTCTACTTCTGGAAAGGAACAAAGTATGAAGCTCCATGACACAGCGACTGGAAGAACCAGTCCACTAGAGAACAGCCCAAAGACAAGCCACGCGCCTCATCCAATGTACCCTATAAATTAAGCCCGACAATAATCTTAACTGTGATATTTTTAATACAACACTCATTATCGTTCGTGAGTTTTATTGATAACAGAAAGAACCCCTAAACACCACAAAAAACATTGATGATTTCTATATTTTTGTTATTTTTCATTTGCGCCCTTGATACTTCCAAAAATTAGTTAAAATCAAATCAATTTTACATAACATTGTTCAAATTCAAGCATATTTGTAAAATTAACTTAGATTTTTAATTTTTTATGGAATCACAAAGTTCATGTTTGTTGCAATGATATTCAACACAACTTTAAAATGTCGCATTTTTTTTTTAACAAGTTAAAAAATCACTAATGATAATATGCATATTAAAAAAACTCTCCTTAAAGTGCAAAAGTTTTATTTTATTTAAGTTAATATTAGTAAAATTTTGATAATTTTTGAGCTACCCTGTATGCTGTTTGACTTGCAACCAATCTAATTGCACCTAATATAATTATCAGACATGCACCAACTTTTGGCCTTGTTTGTATTCTGATTGCGCTATTACTAAAAAAAACCCATATGTTGCAAACTTAAATAATGACACTGTATATTAGTCCATCCGGCTATGTTTATCCTGCGGCTGACTTTTATTCAGTCACGTGCAGATGTTAAAGGCGAGTGTATAAAAGGCCAACCGAGTTACCCGACAATATTTTATTACACCATTTATTCCATTTAGGTATAGATAGTGGCGGATTATTTGCCAGCTCAGTTATGAACAGTGGGCTTTTGGGAAATGCTTTCTCGGATTCCAGTCGGACGCCACTATTATTTTGTTGAACAACTCGGATAATCCCTTTTCTCGATTCTTGTTTTTGTTTTATCAAAAAAATAAAATCAAGAATCCTTTCAACAGCAAAAGAATGAGTTATGCTTTTTGTTTGATGTTGTCGCCTAGTTCGAGTAGGTATTTGTCAATGTAGTACAAACTCCAAAATATTCAAATTCTGTTAACAGAGTAATGTAATGGCCTGAATAAGAAAATGAAATTATGTTTCGATATCATAAATAATTCATAATTAAAAATAGAAATCACAACTTTGTTGCTACAAGCATGAGATTATCTACATTCACATATGACTCAAAGAGATTTGAGCTGTCTAGCTGCATTTACTGTTTGACCTGCCTTTTTACGTTCCCTCTATAGTCTGTAGAGCTTGTTAATTGCCGCTCAGTTCCCCCTTTTGATTATTGCCATTCACGCTTCGAATTTTGACCTTTTCTCTATCCCTCGTGTGTCGAATCAATTATGTTTTAATGATTGCATTATCGGTGAGCTGTTTATAAAGGAACACATAACAGTGAGCAGTTTATTATGCCTCTTGGAATCAATGCGAACAGCAATCGCTTATCCATTAAATTTGGCCTTTAGGTCGGTTGATTTACCCATGTGTAATTGATCTGGATTATGACTAAACCCAATTATTTGTAGATACATTTGGTGTGGTTTTTTATGGAGGTAGATAACAAGTACCTATCGTGAAATATCACATACCAAATTTTGAATAAACTATAGAAGTTTAGATGAAAGTTCTTGAATAATTTGAATTTGAAAACATATGTCTCTACAAACTCAATTTTGGATTTATCATCAATATTGAGTCTGCCAGTATGCGTGTTTCTAACTCACAAATAAAATCGTTACATTCCAGGAGCATACGAACGGCGCATTAAAAATATTATCATATTAAGTAGGTAATAGTCCAGGAGGTAGTGACGATTTTCGGCACTTATTTTCCTAGTCAGACAACATGGATAGAATTGTAGGGTTAGTAATTTTAAGTAAAATTCATATATTTTCAGGGGGGTTTTCCAGTGGGTTGCGGCACAAAATGCGGTAGAGCCTACGAGTGCAAGGCAAATAGTTCTACTAATGAGGATTATACTGAAGTTACGTAAAAAAATATTCCGGCTAATCTGTGAGTATGGATAATATGTCTGGCAAGTGGAAAATTGAAGATCCGAAAAATTTCAGCAAGACTCACTTCCCAATATCTGAGATAAGCCGAATTGCTATTTTCATATACTTTATATTCTATTGTAGTAGATGTGAAATATTTATGACTGGAAAAATAGGTGTACTTGTATTTTTCATTGATCTTGTGAACCCATCCGAAAATTTTTGCTAAACTCAAAAATTCTTGTTTTCTATCACCAAGAGAACAAACTATTCAATATACACCAACTGTGAAAATATGTGCTAAAAAAATTCACTGCCTCCTGGAGTATACTTTTCGATTTCTATTATGCAATTCCTATTGGAGCCTGAGATAGGGCCTGTTTCGTAAAGTAATTTTTTTTTGTCTGGCATTTTGAGGGATATGAATATGACTAGTTAGCTGATGAGAATATAAGTGGTTTCAATGCCTGCCTCCTGTTCGAAATGTCCACAGAATATTCCGCCGGAAAACTCGACTTCGAACTGTGATTACCGTCTGGCGATTTTTCAGCGTTATTTTCACAACAAAACCTTCCATTCTCCCGATTACCAGACAAAAAGTAAACGCGGAAGGTTCTTTTCTTTTCTCTTGAAAGTTAACACTCAATGTCAATCTTTTATTTAGAAGCCAAAAAAATTGAGATCATAAAAGATCATGTGAATCAATTTTTCTCTTCTGCAAAATTTCGAACGGAAGGCAGGCATTAAAATCACCCATATTCTCATCAGCTAATTAGCCATATTCAGCCCTCAAAATGCCAGACGAATAGCTATTTATGTACCAAGGGGATTATGTAGATTATAATGCCCGAAGGCGAAACTAGCCCGAGGGCCTATGGCCCGAGGGATATATTTCGCCTGAAGGGCATTATAATCTTAAAATCCCCGTGGTGCATACAATGCTTTATTTTCTACTCAACACAATGGGTGGTATGAATAAAAACGAAGTATCTGCTATTACTACAAGTATTAGTAGATTCTCCGTAGTATTTACTTAAAAACGAAGTAGATACTACATTTCGAAACCAGCGAAAATTAGTAAAAACTTCTTTTTGAAGTAAATACTCCGTAGCATATACTAATACTTGTAGTAGTAGCAAGTACTTCGTTTTTATTCATACCACCCAATGTTTTTCCATCAATTTATTATTAACAAAATCAGTTAAACTTGTGTCACAGAATATTGTTTTGTATTTTGACATGTACCTGTACCTGTGACCATAGAATACCTGTGACCTGTACCTGTACCTGCGACCTGTACCTAGAAACGAAATAAATTAATATATCTATAATAGCTATTTATGTATCAAGGGGATTATAATCTTGAAATCCCCGTGGTGCATACAATGCTTTATTTTCTACTCAACACAATGTTTTTTCATCAATTTGTTATTAACAAAATCAGTTAAACTTGTGTGACAGAATATTGTTTTGTATTTTGATATGTACCTGTACCTGTGACCTGTACCTGTACCTGCGACCTGTACATAGAAACGAAATAAATTAATATATCTATAAACATCTCATAAGGCAAGGCAACGGTGGTGGTCCTGTGGGTTAACGCGCTGGACTACATGGGAAACATTGATGGTAGACCGGGTTCGAATCCTGGCTAGACCGAAAATTATTTTCGGTCAGACATTTAGTGGCTGCCTAGGGTAAAGTGCAAATTAATAGAACAACAACAACAAAAACACCTTAAGGTATTATAAGCGGGCGTTATAGATCATAACGCCCGCAAAAGCGGGCGTTATGGATCAGGTTGTTATAGGTGTGTTAACGTATTTCGTTTCCTAGGTATTATGGATCTATAATAGTAAAGTAGAAAATAAACATCTTATAAGGCAAGGCAACGGTGGTGGTCCTGTGGGTTAACGCACTGGACTACATCGGAAACGTTGATGGTAGACCGGGTTCGAATCCTGGCTAGACCGAAAATAATTTTCGGTCAGACATTTAGTGGCTGCCTAGGGTAAAGTGCAAATTAATAGAACAACAACAACAAAAACACCTAAGGGCGTTATAGATCATAACGCCCGCAAAAGCGGGCGTTATGGATCAGGTTGTTATAGGTGTGTTAACGTATTTCGTTTCCTAGGTATTATGGATCTATAAAAGTAAAGTAGAAAAAAAAAAGACTCTACTTAACAGCCCCTATCTCACAGTCTATATTTTCAACTGGACAGTTCAACTGGGCAGGGCACACATTTTACACATCTGACTTAATTGAAAAAGACGGTCTCAATTTGGAGGCGTATAACTTACAGCCCTAAGACAACAAACTAAACAAACTATTAGCACGCGATACCTACTTGAATAATTTACACAGTTTGAGACACGAAAAATTCGTTTGGCGGTTTCGTGGCATGTTTTATGGATCACGAAAACACCCAACTCACGGGTATATTAAGCCTATGGTGTTGGATGCTAATTGAATCTATACCCACTGGAGTTTCCTCAAAATCTAAGTAATCCGTAACACGTCTCAAATTGAAAGTACCCCTACTAATTTCCAATATAATTCACAATGAGAAAATAGCTTCTTTTGCTGACATTTCGATACGCAGAACAAAAAAAACTTTTGAATCAAGTCACGTCAATCTCAAGAGTATAAGAGATATTTAATTGCTGTTTGAATGAAGCATATTTGAGCGCAATGATTGGTATTGAAGTATATGGATTTGTTTTGATGAATAGAAACATTATCTGTAACATACAGGGTGAAAAAAAGAGCTGTGCAAATTTGT